TTGATTCGCAGTTGGTTGATTCGCAGTTGGTTGATTCGCAGTTGGTTGATTCGCAGTTGGTTGATTCGCAGTTGGTTGATTCGCAGTTGGTTGATCTCCGTTAGTTGCTGCACCGTCCTGTCCACGTTTGGCAACCTGGGCGATGGCTTCGGCCAACAAGTCCTGGATCTCCTCTACCTCGTTGATGAAGTTCTTGAAACCTTGGGGGAGAGCCCTGCCATCGGCGACGCCGCTTTCGGGGAAGAAGGTGGCGACCGAAATTGGCCAGCTCACATCCTCGCCTGGCTTGAGCGTGCCGAACTCGCCCATCAGGTTGTCCCATTCGGGGTAGTAGTACAGGGCGTGCCAGCGGGTCTCAACCGGGCTTGAAGAGTACTGGACCTGTCTCTCGTCGTAAAGCTCCTTTCGACGAAGTTCGAAAAAGCCATCGGTGTCTTTGAATCTCCACTTCTTGACAGTGAGCTCCGATACGGTTTTCAGTCCCTTTTGACCTGGAGGATATTTGACACGTCTGTGTGGGGGTGCCTTGATACCATCTGGCGGACGCTTGAAGGTGATGTCGTTCTGGAACTGCGCCATCATCTGACCCTTGATCTGCTTGTTGGAATGCATCGGGAAAGCGTCGATGGTGATTTGGTAATCTGGCCGCTCAAAGTTGAAGAGACTGACTTGGAGTCGAGACACCGTGTCGCCAAACTCGACCCAGCGACGCTCCAAGAACTCGTAGTCCTCCTCGCCAACAGGTTTGATCAGGGTCTCCAACCGGAGAGTTGCACTACTGTTGGTTGCGGGAAAATCAAAGAAAGCCCCGTAGAATTCCGTGCCGTTATGAAAAGCATCCATCGAGTCAAGAACATCCGGCAGTTCTGTGATGTCACCTTGTCGGACAGGGATACTGTTCATGCTGAGCTTGGTGCGGCCTTTGGTGACCATGGAAAAGAAGTCATCGAATGAGTATGTGCCAGAACCATCGGACGGTCTCTGGAACAATTTGAAGCCTAGCTCTCCAAAGACGACCCGCATGCGGACGTGCTGTTGTGAGATTCGGAGCCGCTTGATGGATGCGTCAATCGTCTTCTTGATCTTCTTGCGATTGTTGATGTGCGTCCGGCGTCGTTCCTTCACCCACTTGACTTCGTCCGGGGCGGGCATGCCGTGCAGGGTTGGGAGATACGAGTCGGTGAGGGGATCCCGGTCCTGAAGACCAACACGATCTCTGTAGATTGAGTGGTGAGGAGGATGTACCAAGTTGACGGTGACAAGGTGGTCGCGGCGGGAAACAATCTCCTTGATCAAGTTTAACACTCGATTCATGATATTGACGACATCTCTCTCCGAATTGGCGCCGATGACGATGGTCTGCGCACCCTCCGACTGGAAGCCAACGCGACAGTGGTAGGTGCTTCTGAGTTGATCCAGAACGTCGGCGTGGTAGTTTGCGAAGTCCTCAATGTCCAGCTCTTTGGGCCATACGAAAGCAGCTTCATAGGAGTAGTCGAGCGACACCTGCCTCAAAAGATCGTCAAATGCCCTCTGCTTGCTCTGGCGCTCAAGACGGTGTTCTGCACGACCGTCAAGGGCACTGGATCTGAACCAACTCTGGTTCTTGGAGGCATCTGCGGAGGTACGAACGCTCTCTTCCCAATTTGCAAGTGCTGCCTTGGTATCGGCAATCTGCTGCGGCGCTCCCCAGATGAAGAGCCTCTGATCCTGATCATCTGGCTTCCTGATGTAGGTGCCGCATTTGAACATGATGTCTTGCAGCGTCTGTATCGGATGCGGCTGACTTCCTCGGTCACTCCTCAAAGCGGTCGTTTGGTGGGCTCGCCAGGTTGATGCAAGTTGATGTTCTCCATCTGCGGGCTGGCCACTTTCGAAACGAAGTTGTACCGCACTTTTGGTCACCGGAGGTCTGATTGCTGTGCCCTGTCTGCCGAACGGAGCACCTCGAGCAAGTTGACCGTTGGAAAAGGGCTGTAGTGCTGCTGGCGTGCCAGGTTGAGCTCTCGGTGCATAGTCTCTCGATGCTTCATAACGAGGTCCTGTTGGAGGAAAGCGACCGGCATCACCTGCTGGTGCTCCTGGGTTGTTGAAGACGTCTGAAGCGGCATACGAGTAGGCCGATGCCCCAGGCAGACTGGCCTCCTCCCATCCTGCAAGAAGATTAGACACCAGAAGGAAGTTTGGAAGGTTTGGAAGGCCTGGACGCACGCTCAAGGTCAAGACCTTCACCCTCGTGGCTAGATCGACAGGTTAGCTGACGGCACCTGCGCCTGCTAGGAATACACACTCACTCGCTCATGGTGTCGATATGCTCCCTAGCCCTGGTAAGGTTGACGATCTATGTCCATGTAGTAGGACAAAGAGACACAGAGAAAGAGTAACGATGAGAAGGATAGGTCGAAGTGATTGTAGGAGAGAAAGAGATTCAACTGCTCTTTATACCCATAGGCAGTTGTGCGAGCACATGCGTTCTCCAGAGTGACAATAGCAAACAACGTAACGCAGTGGTGAATGACAAGTCAGAACACAAGGCTGACGGGGCTTCCGCATCTATCTTCAGATCGGGAGCCTATTCACCCAGCCCTTTGTTCCCATGGACCGGTTGTAGAGATATCAGATCGAGAGACAAGTGAAGTGTCTGTCTCTCGTCTCGTCTCGTTGCGGCAGGTTCACCTGAGAAGAGTCGTGCCGATCCGTTATAGCGGCGTGTTATAGCGACTTTACAGCAGGCTAGCAGGGGATGTGTATAAGGGCACCGAGAGGAGTTGGAGCATACCAGGCCATCAAACAGCAGGGTTCATATTCATTGAGTATCAGTCTCCCTCCCAATATATTCCATGATGAAGTCGAAGTGCGCCAAATGATCGTATGCAAAGCCGTATACCGCAGCCAATGCCAAGTTGCGCTATTCCGTAATTGGCCATATTGCCTGTCGCGTAAAGACGCGTCTCGACGCGTCTCGACAACTGCAACCGGAGGGCGGAAAAGGTCCCAGTCCAACTGGTCGAGAAAGACATCTCCCAGACCAGGCCAGGCTGCGTCGAAGCCTGAAGAATCGAATCGTATTATTCTTGGCCCGGTTTGCACCATGCAGAGACAAAAGAAGTACTTGACCAAGGGCGGGCTGGCTCGGGAGGACTCAGATGACGAGCTCGGCTACGACGACCATCCGTGGCAATGGATCTACGAGTCCGACGAAGCTCCTCCATCGGCCGAGGACGAGAAGGCGCCGACGACGACGAAGAAACGAAAGGCCAGCGTCCTCAGCCAGAACACCAAAAAGCGTGTTATAGTCGGTGCGCGGATGGGATCGTTCTCGGTGCGAGTCGGAGACGCAATTCTGTTGAAGTCTCCTGAGCAGGGAAAGGACTGGGTTGGACTAATTTGTTCCTTTTCGGAAACCAACGAGGACGGAGACGACGAGATGTGTGCGTATATCCAGTGGTTCTGCACCCCCGAGGAGCTGGCATTTGGGAAGAGGTCCAAGATCAGACCGGATGTGTTGCCCAACGAGTCATACATCACGGCGGACTTCAACGTGAACCCATTGACTGCAATCAACGGGAAAGCTACTGTCCTGTCGAAGGATGCGTTCTTCCAAAAGTATCCTGGTGGATTGCCACCCAAGTCCAAGTCGGGCCAAAGCCGATATGCAAAGACAATTCTGTGTCGGCGAGGGGTCAAGCAGCGGACCCTGCAGTTCACAGAGGATTTCATCTGGGAAGATATCTACAAGGGACCCGAGGACCTGCTGGATTTGATCGACTGGATCAAGGAACAGACCAAAGGGAACAGGAAGCATCTGCTGGCCAAGGAAGATCACGAGTACGAGCAGAAGCGAGAGGCGCAAGAAGAAGAGCCCCGGACGCCACACAAGCGACGAAAGATGACGGCAACCGCATCGACCCCCAAATCAGCGGTCAAGGCGTCCAAGTACACGACACCAACCCACAAACGAATCATGATCAAAAAGCCCATCGAGATCACGCCTCTAGGAACGCGAATCCTCTCTCCGTCTCAGTACATGTCCACGCCATATTCGCACGCACGCACGACGCTCCACGTTTCGGCCGTGCCGACCTCTCTACCCTGCCGGTCCAACGAATTCAGCACCGTCTATTCGCATCTGTACTCGGCCATCGTCGACGGCTCCGGAACCTGCATCTACATCTCGGGCACCCCGGGGACAGGCAAGACGGCCACGGTGCGCGACGTGGTGGCTTCATTACATCAAGCGGTGTTGAACGAAGAACTGGACGACTTCAACTTTGTGGAAATCAACGGCATGAAGGTCACGGAGCCACACCAGTCATACTCGCTGCTCTGGGAAGCGCTGAAAGGCGACCGGGTCAGCCCACATCATGCATTGAGCCTGTTGGAGCAGGAATTCTCGCACCCTTCCCCTCGGCGTATCCCTTGCGTCGTGCTCATGGACGAACTAGACCAGCTCGTCACCAAGAACCAGAGCGTCATGTACAACTTCTTCAACTGGCCAGCGATGCGGCATTCGAGACTGATCGTCCTGGCGGTTGCCAACACCATGGACCTGCCGGAGCGAACGTTGTCGAACAAGATCAGTTCGCGGCTGGGATTGACCCGAGTCACCTTCCCGGGCTATACGCACACACAGCTGATGGAGATCATCTCGTCGCGGTTGCAAGACGTGCCGGGCAACATTGTCGACCAGGATGCCGTGCAGTTTGCCAGTCGCAAAGTTGCAGCCGTGTCAGGCGACGCACGCCGGGCGCTGGACATCTGCCGCCGCGCCGTCGAGATTGCCGAGCAGTCTCAGCAGTCGCAGCAAACTCCACACGCTGCTTCGCCGGAGGGTGAGAACGAGGACGACGAGACTGCGGTCACGGCCAGTGCAAACACACCGAGCCGCAAAGGTAGAGGCGCGGCCAAGGAGAGTTCGCACCCAAAGGCAGAGCCGCGTCACGTTCTCCCCAGAGTGACAATAGCCACAATCAAACAGGCCATCAATGAAGCGACCTCTTCTCCCATCGCACAACATCTCCGTTCCCTGCCGCTCGCTGCCAAACTCTTCCTCGCCGCTCTACTCGCACGCACTCGGCGGACGGGGGTGGTCGAGTCCACCTTCGGCGATGTGGTGATGGAAGCCAAACGCATCGCCGACGTGGCCGACAACAGCGCCATCCACGATTTTCTACTCATCGACAGCACGGCCGGGAAGGCAAGCTCCAGCTCGACTATGCCGCGGATACTGGCGCTGGGAGCGGCAGCCATGGACCTCGTCGAGGCGGGCGTGGTGGCCATGGAGGCAAGGAGCAGGGGCGAAAGAGCGGGCAAGGTCAGATTAAGAGTGGGCGAGGAGGAGGTGAAGAGTGCGTTGATGGGAGACGATGAGGCCAAGGGTCTGGGGTTCAATGCCTAATGTATTTCGACGGACAGCAAGTCCCACTGCAACGAACCACCTGGTTCAATACAAGATTCAACTGGCCGGGCAGTTTTCCCTTTTCCTCCCCCGCCGCACAATGACTCCGAGTACATATCTGTCTGTCCTTGTGTCTGCTCGACGTCAAATCACACTCACACCGTGATCAACACCTTCAAAGCCTCGTGCTTGGCGGCGGCTTTGAATGTGGTATATGCATTCACCATGTCGGTGAAGGCAAACTCATGGGTGATGAGATCGCCTGGGCGGAGGGTTCCGGCCTCACACAGCCTGAGCAACATCGGGGTGGTGACGGTGTCGACCAGGCGGGTGGTGAGGGAGATGTTGGCACTCCACAGCTTCTCGATCTTCAACGAGCAGCTCTTGCCGTGCACGCCGACATTGGCGATGGTGCCGCCGGGGGCCACGATGTCCTGGGCCAGTTCCAGGGTGGCGGCGATGCCGACGGCCTCGAGCACGGCGTCACAGCCGATGTTGTCCGTTAGCTTCAGCACCGCTTCCTCCGGCGACGTTTCGGCGCTGTTGATGGTGTGGTGGGCGCCGAACTTCTGCGCCACCTTGAGTCGGCTGGGGTCTTGGTCGATCACGATGATCAGGCTGGGCGAGTACAGCTTCGATGTCAGCAACGCTGCCAGCCCGACCGGGCCCGCGCCGACAATGGCCACCGTCGACCCGGGCTGCACTTTGGCGTTCAACACCCCACACTCATGGCCAGTAGGGATGGCGTCGCTCAACATCACCAGTGCTTTTTCGTCTACTCCGGGAGGTGCGTGGTGTAGGCCGCTGTCCGCCAGCGGGATCCGGACGTACTCGGCCTGCGTGCCGTCGATGGTGTTGCCCAAGATCCAGCCTCCACGCACGCAGTGGCTGTACATTCCTCGCCGGCAGTACGTGCACGTCGCACAGCTGGTGATGCAGTTGATCAGCACCCGGTCGCCCTTCTTGAACCCGGCCACCCCGGGGCCGGTCTCATGGACGATGCCGACACCTATTTTCGTTGAACGGGAAACGTCAGCAATAGTAATGCCACCCGGCGCTTCCGCAGCATAGCTTAGCATAGCATCGGTACTGATTCGAACGATACGAATGACTGTAGTACCATACCTTCGTGTCCAAGTATCCGACCTGGCGTGCACGTGGGCACGTCGCCGTGCAGGATGTGCGTATCTGTGCCACAAATCGTCGTATACACCACTGTTCGGAGCGTGAGCATGAAGACATATATACATGTGAGTCTCTAGACCGCGTAGGGTATAGGTATAGACATGTAGGGCATAGATACAGACATGCAATGTCCCAGTCTGCAACGTACGTACCTTTCACAATGGCGTCCGTCGGATCCTGGATCTTGGGGATTGGACGTTCTTCCAGGGCACATTGGCCATCGCCTTTGTAGACGAGCGCTTTCATGGTGAGAAAAGAGGGGGGAGTATTTGATATTGATGAAAAGGGAGGGGGGAGTATTCGCTATTGGTGAGAAGGGAGGGACGAGTATTTAATATTGATGAGAAGGGAGGGGTGAGTACTAGGGTAGGTATTCAGATATTTATTTCAATGTGATCCAGCCAGGTTGAGACGTGAGACGGCCTTTGCTTATGCTTATGCTTATTCTTATGCTTCTGCGTTCGGAGCTGGTGTCTTGTGTCTCTTATCAACGTTGTTGAGCTGTTTGAGCTGTTCCGGCCAGGCGGGTCACGTCCATGGATATATACTGCATCCGCACAGTGTACTATACATAGAGTAGCTACGTAATCACAATCAATTAATCACTCTTATTCCAACTGAGGGGGCGTCGTCAAAGCTCTCGGGTCCGGTGATCGGGGAGCGGGAGGGACCAGGGAGCACGGTGAAGTGCATCGAACAATACTACTGGTGCCACTGCCGTTGTGATGACAGTGCTGTCACTGTCAGTGTACGCCGTACGGAGTACTCGTATGGGAGATTTTTATTTCTCCTCAGACCACTCATGTTCCACAGATCTCATGATTGGTTCCCGATGCGGAGGCGTAGGCGGCTCCGGCGGCTTAGGAGGCTCTCGCCCCCTCAGTTTTGAGTTCTAGTTCTCGGTTCTCAGTTTCCCCCTTCGCCTTTCGCCCTGCCATCTGCCGTGATGGACGATGGATACCAGATTCCCGTTGCCCGGCGCGGCGGTGTTGGGGTCGCCGCCTAGCGAGGATTGAGGACTGCCTGGTGCGAGTGTCGCCGCCTGTAGAGCAATGCAGAGTCTCAAGAACAACGACAACAACAGCAGCAACAAGATGGGCGGCCTTATGGTCGGTGTGTCCTATTGTTACTGTTGGAGGCGGAAAGGTCACTTTACCTACTGGTAGCAGATTTCATGATCTATCACATCTCATTCAAGTCAATTGTCGCGCCCAACAGAGTGATGAGAGTACAGGGTTCTTAGGGTTAGGTTTAGGGTTAGGGTTCTTACTGATCTAGAGAGTCGTAATGACTCCTTTCGAGCCTGACCAGTGCCTGGAGATGTTTGAATCTCGACAACTTGGTCTTTAGACAAGTCTGTTATCCATCATCAGAAATCGATGTCTTGGTTCATTGTTCGCACCCACCGAGTAGAGGCTGGCCGGGCTGGTTGGGCGCCTCAGGCTAGACAAGACTACCCAGGTACTTCCCAATCCTAGCCCTCACGACAGGCGTTCCTCTGTCTATTCGAGTGGTCTTTACGGCTGTCTATCGAGAGTCTTTCCTTTCACCACCAAGGAATCCGACGCGAGTACTGCAAGAGCTGATGAAGATGCGGCCAATGCAGTCTGGTCTTCGGTTGCCCCGAGCACAGTGACCACCAGTCATGCTCATGCCGCTGATGTTGCAATCAGACGAAGAATGTTAGAGCTGGGGATCTTCTACAGTGGTGTGGGTTCTAACCATACTGAACTGTCTAACCATACTGAACTGTCCATGAATGGGATGCCTGGCTCAAGAAACTCGACTTTTTCAAAATCACTCTCGGCCAGCGAGCAGAGTTGCACTTCTGAGTATGGCCCGGTCCGCGAGCATCGGAACATGGTGTCAACGGATCGGAAGAAGTGGGGAGTTTGGAACGAGACAACGAGGATTGATATGTCCGTCGCTCCGGCTCGAGCCAAAACGAAGCGACTGAAGGTCGACGAGGGACAGCGGTACATGGTATGGCATGGGCACGAGAAGCAGCTACAAGAATGGCTGGGATGGCACATTCCATCGCGTGGAGATGTTGACTTGAACACGCTTCTCGACTCCATGTCTCTACAGGCAGCATTCAGACGTCGGCGAAGTACAACAAGTTCAGCGACCATGGTCATCATGCTCTCGAGGACATCATGGGGCTCGTCAATAGGGCAGCTTCCTGGGCCGAGTAACCCCCTGCTCTCAGGGCTCTCAGAACAACAGCAACAGTCCTTCACGACTAGAGTCATTCCCACCACCTGGGTTCCGTACCTTGTCTCTAATCATACACTCTCAGAACAGCTGAAACAGTCCTTCACGAACAGAAGTACTCTCGCCACCTCTCTTAACTACCACTACCTATACAGCTACACACCTTGGTTTCCTTTCTTTCTCTCTTCGTCCGCTAGCTACCATAGCATACCAGGACTTCTGCTCGTCCGACATTGAAGTCCCTGATGTACACTCAAACCACCCATAGGCGAACAAAGAACCGCTCGTGAGCAAGAACGAAGACCGTATTACTAGCAAGACCGCGTCTCTTCGTTACATTTACGATCGTCCGAAAGCTTGTTTCTTCCTAGCTCCAAGACGTCTTTCGCTACAGCTACAGCTGTGGAGGGTTCGACGTTGCCATCGCCCGTGTGCTTCTAATCCTTATGATGGTGGCTGTCGACTGTCGAATTGGAGACTTTCTTGCCCAAGACAAACATCACGCCAACAAGGGCTTCTATATGAAGCTTGAAGATATTGTACTAACTCTAGAGGGTGACGAGCCGACTGCCGAGAACATCACCGCATTCATTACCATCAAGTACGAGAAGAGGATAAAGTAAGTACTATCTGTCTATCTATTTGTTTCTTCGTACTCCCCTCGCTAACCATCGGAATAGGAAATCCTACAATCATCGAACTCGACGAGTCGAATCTTTCAAAGACGCAACCCTTACGACAGTCGATCTTATCCTGATGCTCCTCGTACATGGCCTCCGCCATGGCCTATTCAAAACCGGTGCTACTCTAGACCAAGTCTTGATGGCCGCCAAAGCTCGTGGCGACCGTACACTTCGATGGAAGTATCCAGAGTACCCATTTGTTCCCGCCATGACTCATCCTACGGCCGGAACCTTAACGCTCTCGACGCCTGCCAGGTACAAGATGGCATACAGTACAATTCTCCGAATGGGTGATATCTCGGGATATCTATCACGCCTCCTCACCCACGATATCCGTCGAGGAGCCGCCAAAGATCTCGTCCGACTGCCTAAGGAAATCATGAAGGCATCCGACGCGGGTACTGCAAGAGCATTGGGGCATAACGATATCCGGTCAACCAGATTCTACAATATATAAGAAGATAAGGCTATTAATAAGTATAAAGCCGATCTATCTGCCTATAATATCTAAAATAACCGTCTTAATCAACAAGTACCTCGAGGAGCATTCAGACGATATTCTCAACGGTACTACGAGGTCTCTCAGCTTCTTCCTCTCTCCGAGACTAGTAGCGATAGAAGATAGATATCGTGAATAGAAGGTACTACGGGACCGCTACGCACGATTTGCACCAATGGAACATCGCAAGGCATGGCAAGAAGTACAGGTATAGAATGGTCCAGGCATGAAAGACCAAAAACATATAATTAAGCCGTTCAAAGGAGAGGCCTAAGGCCTGACTTGCCTCTTGAGATCCGGATGCTCGACCGATTTCTTCGCGAACACAATATGCACTACACGGTCCAAGCCATGTAGCACTAAAGGCCTATTCAACCTCCAAGCTATGTAGCATCAAAGGCCAATTCAATCTCCAAGCTATAGCACTGAAGGTCAATTCAATCCGCGTAGCACTGAAGGTCAATTCAATCTGTGATAACTCTGGGGAGGATTCCAGCCTCATCTACAAGTCTCCATTATTTATTCTATATAGTCAAGGCGGCCCCCAGGCCCTTATCATCGAGAACAAGGAACTCTTCAACCCAAGCATGCTTTTGAGACAGACAATCCAACCCTACCTCTGAGATAGACAATCTTTATCATCGAGCACAAGGAACTCTTCAACCTTACTTTTGAGACAATCCTTGGGGCGATGGCGAAAAGGTTGGCAAGCCAAGGCAAGGAATGAGATCGAAGTCAATCAGTCATCACGCAATGGTTCCCTACATTATGTATCCACGATAAATTACATTGATTCAAACGGTCATGGTCATGGTCTTGAAAGGGATGCATTACATGTACATGTACATGTGGAAGATGCGATGCGACGTGGCATCATAGCCTAGCCTAGCCTAGCCGTGGTGGTCTATTGTTGAGGCGCAACGGGCGCGAGAGAATATCCGTGCCCTTTCCACTACCATTTCCACTACCATTTCCATTCGTCTAGGATCGGATCGCATGTCTTTGCAGCCCAAGCCGTGAGGTATCAAGGCCCAAATCGCACTTGGCTATCTCTCTGACGTTTTCGATACTACCGATTAGCCACAGTGTGGTCTTGTGATACTGCCATTTAGCCAGTGTGGTCTTGTCGATGAGCAATAGACGTGCATGGATCGCCGTGCCCATGTATTGTCCGCGCATTAAAATCGCATATCTGGCCACACCGCATTGGACCCGATCATGATGCAAATCCCAAAGACGGCGACACAAAGTTCCCAAGCTCATGTTCCTAGGGACAAAAATCAGCAACCACATTGCAATAGCAATCAGGGACCCTACCTTGATGTAATCACTTCCTTTCTCCAGATACTCGGCACGGGTGACAGTCGCAGCTTCACGGCTCGGGGTGTCTGGGTTGTTCCACCAACTAGCTGCTCCCCTCCACGCGTCAAAGATGGGATTGCTTGCCTTGCGGACATTGATGGGGAAGGCATCCGGCATGGCTGCAGTGAGCTCTCTTTGGAGTCGTTCCTCGAACGTGGTAAACATGGTATTTCCACCGGTCAGAAACACGTCCTTCAAGAGCGCCTTCTGTTGGTTGGGATCGGAAAACCGTCCCATGACGATGCCCTCAATCACCTCAACCAGACCGGCCTGGTCGACTCCAGCAATTGCGGGTTGGAAGACGACCTCGGGTACCCGTATCCGTTCGACATTCAGGTGGATCTGATTCGCTTCCCGCTGGCTTTCCGGATCAGCAGGTCTTGCGCCGCGCAGGAATGCGTGTAACACGCTCTTCGTCCAGTCGTTCTGTGCTTCAATCGTATCCTTCTCCGAGAACTCGGGGTCAAATTGAAGAAGCTCGCTCTCAACAGCTTTCAGCACCGTCAATGGATCATCCTCAGGCTCATCGTCGTCGCTCGCAGGTTCCGTGGCCACGGTCCGATACACTCCCCAGTCGTCGTCGTTGGCCCCGAAATCATCGTCATATTCTCCTCCACCTCTACGCTTCCGCTTGGGCCCATCAGCAGCCAAGTTGGCCAATGTCTTCATTCGCATCTGCGAAGCCATGCCTTTGCGGTTTCCAGAGTCCGCCTTCTGCCTTGCTTGCTCCTTGATTTTCGCGAGAAGTTGGTCCCGCTGTTGCCGACGACCCTGGAGCCATACATCAAAACGCGTCTCTCGCATCTCAATGTCCCGTCTTTCTTCTTCTGCAGCTCGCGCCCTTTCACGCTCCTTCTCGGCTTTGGCTCGGATTCTGGCTTCCACTCCGGACTTCATCAACCTCTGATGCCTCTTCTCTTTGAGTCCGTCCTCGTCCAGTTGGTCATCCGGTGTGTCGAGCAAGGGAAATTTGTTCAACTGTTCTTCGAGCTTCTCTTCCTCTTCCGGAGCACCAAGATCTTTATTCCTCGACTTCTGGATTGATTTGTCCAGATCTCTGATCACTCGTTCAAGGGCGGCTTCATCCTTGAACTCTTCATCGTCGAGAATTCGGCGTTGCTCTTTTTTGGTGGGGGCTTCTAGGTAGGACTGGTGCAAATGCTGATAGTATTCCAATTCCTGCTCCTTTCTGATCAGCCTCTCCAAGCGCATCTTTGCAGCTTGTTCTTGAAGACGTCGGCCGGACTCTTTCTTCCGTTCCGCGATCCTGGCCAGCTCTTCGGCGGATTTTTCCACCACGACTTGTTCGGTGTAAGGGTATTGAATGATAATGTCACGCTCCTCCTCGAGGCCTGACCAGTCCAGGTAGGTCGAGACTTCGGATACATAGTCCTTTGATAGGTAGCAGTATTGCTTGATGTAGGTCTCCATCTGCTCTGTGGTCATCTTCCCGGGGAACGTCGGGTACTTCAGACGCAGGAGCTTCAGCAGGAAATCTTGAGACTGGGAGCCTCCCCAATTCAGGCGCGTACATGACTGCATCTGCGGCTTTCGATCCAAGACCGGAATGACATGTGTTGAAGTGTGGGAAGAGGACACAATGAGTCCAGACTGGCCTTTGTTGTATCGATAGGAAAAGAGGCTGTCGATGCCAGTGGTGACACTCGGGACGCGGTAACACTCAAAAAGCATCTCGTTCATCATCCTCCGGCTATGACCCAAGTTTGCGACGGTTTCGGTAATGACCAATGGCCGGTCCACGCTGCCATCGTTATCCACCCCGAGTTTGAGAAAGAGGTAATCATAGATGCCCTCCATGATGTCCCAGTTGGTCGGAATGCTGGTGTTCTGCTCAAAGGCAGTTCTGATCTGGCCACGGGTCGTCGCATCAGCATAGGCATCGTACCCAACGAACGCGCAGTATTTGTTGTATTTGCGGTCTTTGTACTTGGCCACGATCGGAGGGACGAGGAGGTGGGGGTTCTTCTCGAAAGAAAATCCAGCTTTGATGGTATGGGCACCTGCGGGATTTTCTCGTCAGCCCGTGTCCGTCGGACGGTTAGGTAGGTGTCTTTTACCATTGTCAATGATGATGGCGCTCTCACTCGGAGTAGCAGCGCTCTGTCGGTAGCCCTCCGGCTGCGGAGGCTGCCATCCCTTGAAAGGAAAATCGGGCGCAGGATAGATTCGTGGTGCGCCGCCTGGGGGAGGCGTAGAAAACCGACGTTCGTTCACGATGGGAGAGATAGATGTGATTGTCATGGTGTCTGCTGCATCCTTGGATGCACGGCCGCGTCGTGTATCATCGCAACAGCACTTGATGAACTTTGACGCGCAACTATAAAGTGAACGCGGGATCTGGGGAAGGAAATCTTGTCGCCCAATCTGGCGGATGGCGCCGCCGCTTTGGGGGCTAAGGCTGCCAGGCCAGATAATCTAACACCGGCAAACCTTCCATGAAAGCCCAAGCACGATGTTCTCTACAACAGCGTGGCTAGCTACACAAGCATACGACACTGTACGGATACATGATCTCTTTCAAGTGGGCAGAAGGACCCAGCTTGCAGGAGGATACAGCACGTTTCCCTGTCCGTAAAGCCACTATTAAACATTGCAGAATCCTCCACACTGCCAGACAATGCTCATGGTCCTATCACCAGCGTCAAAGCCTCCTTGGGCTTAGTAGGGGAAGAGCCCTAGGTAAGAGGAGGGTAGGAAGACGAGTGCCTCCATCCACTGCACTGACTGGGCGTTCGCTCAGCACCATGGAACCTGGCTTTTCTCGGGCGGACTCGTTCCTTGGGAGGGTAGCGGTACAGCAGCCCAGGCCCATAGCGCAGCATGGCGGTCATGGAGACATCTGGACATCTATATTCATCTCAGATCGGATCCTTGAGATTCTCCGTTGCTGGGCCCATGTCAGCCTTGCACGAGGATCAGGTCTCCGCGGTAGACCAGTCCAGTCACTCACCCTCCAAGTGGAAGAGCGCATTGGACTGGTAATTCTTGAACATCTGCGCGACGAGTTCGACATTCATGTTCTGGACATTGACCTCCTGCGACGCATCGCGACTTTAGTATTGTCTTCGACAGTGGCACTGAGGGCACCTCTTGAGGTCACCTATACCTGCAAATTCCTGTTCATCATCGCCACAGCCTCATTCAGTTTTTCCTGTTCCTGTCTGTCAACACCAGCACCAAAAGCCAACACGCTTGGGATGTGTCGGGCAGAATGAGCGTACGATGTTTGTAATGATGCGGGAGAGCAATAGGCTCTGCTGTTGTTCGTGAGGGCTCTCCTAGTCAGGCGAATTCGAATTAGTATTTGGGCCATAAACAGCAATCATGCGATGCGGTTACCATGTTCAAACCCCTTGGTGTCTCCGTATACCAGCAGGTTGCGCAACATTCGAACGGCTGTCCAGACTCTGACGCTGAGCGGAATCGACTCGAAGATGCGGCGATTACAGTAGTAGTAAATAGTAGGACCAAGACCGCGTTCGCGTTGCGGGGAGAATCTCATGCCGCTTTAGCTAACAGAAGCACCCCTGCTGAATCGGGATCGCACTGGCAGGCCAGAGGTCGGTGCTGCTTTAGCCGACGTAACAACTACAATGCAGTGGCCTGCAGTGTGACATGTTCGGTCTGTCCACCTTGCTGAATGGCTAAATGATGTACTCTGTACGGCAGTACGGAGTAGAGAATGATGCAATCAGGGCTACGGTAGAGGGGATGTCGGAATATCAGTAATCCGTGTTAGTAAAGTGCCCTTGCAGTAAGAAGACTTTGGGGTCTACAGAAAACGCTACTACATAGTATGACCATATTACCTCCCCCCGTGGGCGGCCGCCTTTCAGTTCTCAACGAGTCTATTCAACGATCACCATCTGATCCCTGACAGTCAATTAAAATGTCGTCCGCTCCCGCATGCAAGAAGCTTCTCATCTTTGGCGCCACCGGTCTGGTCGGGAGCCGCATCACCAGGGAGATAGTTCGGAACAAAAGCCAGTTCGAGCGGATTGCCATCTTCACGTCTCGCACGACGGTTGAAAGCGCCACGAAATCCGAGCAGATCGCCAGTCTCCAGAAGGAGGGCGTCGGCGTCATCGTCGGCGACGTGACGAGCGCGGGCGACGTGGCGAGAGCGTATTCCGGCATCGACACGGTCATCTCGTGCCTGGGCCGGAATGCACTTGAACATCAGATCGAGCTTGTGCGGCTCGCCAACGAAAGCCCGTCTGTGCACCGATTCTTCCCGTCCGAATACGGCACCGACATCGAGTATGGCCCGTCGTCGGCGCATGAGATCCCGCACCAGAAGAAGCTCAAGGTCAGAGCCGCTCTCCGGGCCTGCGATCGCCTCGACCATACTTACGTGGTCACCGGCCCGTATGCGGACGGAGACCCCGGCCTCTATTTCAGCGCCAATGCGTCCGGCAAGCAGGCCGGCAGTTTCGACGTCAAGAATAAGGAGGCCGTGCTGCTGGGCGATGGGAATCTCAGAATCAGTTTCACCACCATGCACGAGTAAGTTCGATTGCAGGTCGACCGGTCCCAAACTAAACACGAAGCTCAATTGAGCGCTGGCTGATTGACCATTGGCTATTGACTGCTGATTCTGATATTGATATTGATATTGATACTGATACTGAGACTGAGACTGATACCGATACTGACACTTTACAATAGTGTGGGTAAGCTAGTGGTGCTTGCCGCCCTGCACGCAGATTCCAGCCGCAACAAGGCCCTGCGGGTCAATTCGTTCACCGTGACCGACTCGGACATCCTCCACGAATTCGAGAGGCAGACCGGCGGTCAAGCGTGGAAGGTGTCATACACGAGCCTGGACGAGTTGAGAAGGCTGGAGAGGGAAGCTTTGGATGCCGGCAAACCCTATGCGGTCCTCTTCACGTTGAGGAGAATCTGGGCAGAGGGGGGCACCTTGTACGACAAGCGGGACAACCATCTCATCGACGCCGAGCATGTCGTCGACACCTTGGCAGATGCAGTGGCGGAAGCCATCAAGGTTCAGACGAGCTAAGTGGGTAAACCAGCAAGCTGTATGTGTATGTTAACATGGTTGTGACCCATACATAGCACTACCTTTGGAATTACAGTCATCACTACTAGTCCTAGCCCTAGCCTTCGAAAGAGGAGAAGACATCTCGCTTTGCCACTTCATATTCCCGGATGATGGTGTCTCGTCTCTGTTCGGATCGAACCTGAACGTCCAAGGCAAAGGGCTTCGCGCAGACGAGGAAACCCTCACTGTAGCCGGTGGTGGGATGCGTGTCAGGCTCGACGATGTTGCCATGCTCGTCCTTGCCCGGGGCAAAGTCGAACGCCCAAAGCAGTTTCGCGATGCCGAGGAACAGATTGCGTTCGGCGAGGTGAATCCCTGGACACAGGCGTCTGCCCGAGCCGTAGCCGTAGTGGTCTCTGTCGTCGGGATTGCTGGCTTGGGCCAGTTCAGAGGCGAGTGCTGTGATACCTTTGTAGTGGTCTGGGTCAAAGGTGTCGGGATTGGGAAAGCGTCGCTCGTCATGATGCATGCCCCAGGCGTTGATGAAGATGGTGGAGCCCTTTGGGATCTTGAACCCATCGATCCAGTCCTCTACATAGTACAAAGCGTCTCATGTCAGCCAGGCTTCCTCACTCGTTGCACCATTCGGATACCAGATCGAATCGACCACACTGGTCCGATCTCCTGAGGAGAAAGCAGGCAGCAAGCACAACGACCACGGCGAGCATGTCACTTACCTTCATCCACCGCATGTGGGAACGCCAGTGGCACCACCGGTCTCCAGCGCATCGTCTCCTTCACCGTGGCGGCGACATAAGGCAGACTGGCATAGTCGGACCAAAGCGGCGACCGGTCCTCACCCATGACGCTGTCAATCTCCTTCTGGGCCTTGCGCATCACCTCGGGCCACTTGGCAAATGCCTGCATGGCGGCGATAATGATGCTGGAACTGGTGTCGCTCGCGCCTTCCATCATGGTTCCACCGAGGAAGCACAGCTGATTGCGGGTCAACTCGAGTTTGTCCTTTTGATCGAGCACTCGGTCCATGAAGCTGTATTTGGGGCCCACTGCCGCTCGCCGCTTCTCCAGACCAGCCAGCATGTCGCCGTACAGGGCATTCATGGCCTTCCCCACGTTTTTGGCGCGGGATCGCCAGTTTCCAAACACCGCCTCGGGCACGTAGTGCAGGGCCGGAAAGATATCGACCGGGGGGGTGTTGCCCGGCTCCATGACCACTGACCAGTTCTCCATCAACTCGTACAGGCGCTTCATGTGTTCGGTGTCGATGTCCGGGCTGCGCACACCCCAGATGGTCCCGCAGGCGATGCTGTTGGTGTACCGCTTGGGATGCCACATGTGCTGACCTGGTCGGAGGACAAAGTCGTACAGCAGCTGGCTCGCCTCGGCCTGCTGCAATGGCAGGTGATCTTTCATGACAATGCTCTCCATGAAGTGCTGATGGATTACCTTGCGGTACCGCTGCCAGGTCTTCCCATAGTGGGCGATCAGGACGTGGTCGCCGCCGGTGATGAGGTTATGTGAGACGTAGCTGTGCGGGCGATTGCTGTAAATTGCGGATTTCTTGTCCACCAGTTGTTTGACCAGTTTTCGGTCGGTCAGCACAATCGCAGTTCCAGAGCCGATTTTCAGAGAGAAGATTCCACCATATGTCTATTGACAGGTTACTCCGGGACTCTGGTAGGACTTGGGATCGATTGAATGAGAAGGAGGGGAGATGAAGATGCCTCGAGCGGAGTCTATACCTTAGCCCACTCTGTGAACCTGTTTGTGGGGGAAATCAGAATCAGTTTGATGTCGCCGACGAACGTCTTGAAATGGAACTGACTGATACCGTAACGTGTGTCGTGTGACTTACTTCAAATACGATCCCTTTATCGGAATCTGATGAATATTTCCAAGGACCGGTAGAGTGGGTGGACCTGGCCCAAGGTCAAGGCCCCAGCAGTCAGCATCTTCATTTTCATCTTAACATGTCTCACCTGTTCTCTCTCTACACTTGTTGTATTGTTGTTGCACGGATTGATCAGACATACCTGGGGGCAGACCCTTCTCTCGTCTTCCGACGAACACAAAGCCATAGACGAGAAAGGCGAAGACGAGGCCGCCGAGAAGAGGAAGGAGGGTTGTCAACGCCATTACTAATGGAAGGGATGAATGCGGTGTGAACGTGAACGTGAACGGTCCCGAGTACACGACCGTGCCGTGGATTTTGGGTCTCCATACTTTATATATCCATCATCTCGACTGAGGGGAAGCGAAGATGGCCATACCCCCGAAGACAGACCGAATATTGTCCTGCAATCAACATCCTCGCCATCAAGATCGGTTGCGACTTTTCTTACTTTTGTCCCGCAAGGAGAGAGAGGTTCCCCACGAAATGAGACTGTCGCGGGGAGATTCCGGAGGTCCCACCTGGGACCTGGGGCTTAAGCTTAGGACTCAAGCTTAGGCTCAGGCTTCGACGAAGCGAGGCAGACTTGAGAGATCAGGAAGAGCAAGAGGGAGTCAAAGGTTGTATATATACCTTGTAGTCCGCCTCATCAAACAGGAGGTTGAGGTTAAGGTCAAGACGTTTCACCTACCAACAAAGAGCCAAACAGGGTGGCTCACAGTCAGTGTTGCTGGACAGGGGCTCAGCCGCCACCTCGCCTATGGAGACTTACACTTCGTCCATGCGACACAGGCCGATCACAGTCGGGTCAAAGAGTGGATATCGACCTGTGAGGAAAATCATAGGTCTTGCAACGAACAATTCATGAAAAGTCTGGCCTGTTTGGATATTCTGAAGGATCCCTCAATATCCTGGGAATGCCATGGGACCCGTCAGCTGGGCCGGTCTACCTCAGTATATATATTCGCCGTATCTCTGCCACTGGTAAACGAAGGCGGTGGATTGTACGACACGGTATACAGCTACAGCATTAAAAATATCAGGTAGCACCTGGTACCCTACCTCATGGTTTTGCTCACTGATACATAATACGATCCTCCAGCGTGAACTCGACGGTGGCAATCTTTCATGACCGCGAACCGGATTGGTAGGCGGTACATATCTGTCCGATTGATGTCATCGTGTCAACCAGGTTCCTGGGAGGTCGATTTGCACACCTTGCAGGATTCCACGCCTGCTGTGGTGTGGTGTGGTGTGGTGTTCGTGTTGTTACGAGGTAGCACGATCCCGGCCGTAGGATTTCTTCACCTGGGCCATGCCTCAGAAGCTGTACTCTAGCCACGCGTGACCGTGAAGGTGAAGCGCTTTCCCCGCACTCGAACCCCTTCTTAAGCCCATCTCCAAAGCCTGTACACTCATGGCGGGAAGCAGCATAGTCATACTCCGTGGAAGAGAAATGCCGCTCTATGAAACTCCAGTTTGCCAGAACGCCAGAACACCACACTCTGACATTGTGCGTGAAATACAGATCAAGTCAACACCCTGAGCACTCAACGAGCTCCCGCAGATGGTTGAGACAGGATGGCAGCTCCTTGCAGTGCTGCTTGTGAGGGCGTCATTTCAGCGGACCCTGTCCGAGGTCGTTTTGTAGCCGGGGGATCAGAATAGGCTGGCTCAGGGTAGGCACTGGCACGGTGAGGATCGTGATGTAGGCCTTCCTGAGCCTGAGCCTGTGCCACCGCACCCAGTTCCGATAATCGGGGGAGTGAGCCTGGCGGTTGAGGAAGCCCGGCCTTGCCCGGTTGCAGGCCATCGACATTGCTGGGCGGAGGAGGGACCTCGCCCTGAGACTCCAGGAGTCGGGATTGAAGATTGATGACGTAGTCTCGAAGTTGGTAGTTTTCGGCTTGCACGACCTTGAAGTTTTCGCTCAAGGCCTGGTAGTCTCGCACCTGTTCCTCGAGCTTCTTGATGTAGCCCTCTTTTCGTTGTCGAAAGGCTCGCTGATGGTGGGGCGATCGAGGTCAGCCGCGGCGGTCAAGACATTGAGGAGAAGCAACATACCTGCGCCGCTCGGTTCTGAGCAGCTCTCTTGCTGGTGCTCAGTTCCCGTTTTCCGTATCCTTTGCGACCATCGGGCGTGGTGTCGGCACCGTCGCTCTCTGCGCTACCGGTGACGGCGTCGTTGTGGATCAGGTCGCTGGGAGAACTAGGCTGCTGTGGCATTGTCTCTAGGGAGTCCGAGATAGCCGACGATTGTGCTGGCGGAGGATAGTGTTGCTCGCGTAGAACTATTGAATGCTTAGGAAGGGGCCATGGAGAGAGCAGCTGAGTAATAGAAGTCATGGTGGTATTGGGGAGGTGGTGATGTATGTCAAGGAAAGTTGGTGTCAAGCTACCGTGACGGCCAGGAGACGATACCGGCCACCGGGTCAAACACCAATGTCCAACAAGCAGACAAGGCCGGGGCGGAAAGGAGAGCGTGTGGAAAGGGACGGTATATGTACAATGTACAGCACGGATGTGGGAAGGACCGCGGATCAAGGGGTGGGTACAATGGGACGTAGGTACATAACGAAGGATGCAATGTGCAGGGAACAGTAAGAACCGTAGTGCGACTGATGGGGGTGCTGATCCGGCCCTCGTGGTATTTGTGCTAATCGGGTTGTTTGGGAACAAGCGCGGGGGCAGGATCGGCAGTAGAAGATGTAGAAGGCACAGGACAGGAGGTCCAAGGATGCAGGAGAGGCGGAGGGGGGTAGTATTGGTGGTGGTGGTGGTGGGTTGGACAAGGGAGGTGGACAGGGTTAGGGTGGTGAGGTAGGCTTGTGGGTCGAGGGATTACTATACGTACGCTGCTCGACTTTGACTTGATCCTATTACTCAAACGGGTCAGAAAGGTTCGCGGCGGGAAGATGCATACAGCAGGCAAGAGACAGAGATGCAGATGGAGATGGAGCCAGGCATCGCTGCTAAGCCGGGCAATGGCCTCAAGTGGGCTCAGCGGTACGTAAGATGGAGGAGGAAGAGTGAGTCTGAGTAAGGACCAGGGTGGCCCGCTGTGCTTACCTGAGCCGTTGACGAAGGAGAGCTAGCCGTGCGAGGAGCCAGGGCCGGTTGCATGATGGTCGAGTGAGGCAGGCTGGCGATTGGGCGCGGTCGCGGTGGTCTGCGTCTGCGTCTGCGTCTGCAGCGAGAGGCAAGCTCGGTCGGTCGAGGGGAGAGGTACGAGGTACGGGGCAGGATCAGTGGGCGGCGACGACGACGGCGGTGACGGTGAGATGATAAAGGTATAGGTAGGTCAACAACTGGCGGCGGCAGTGGAGTGTCGAATGATTAATCAGTTTGATTTGCTTCCATGCATTGACGCGAGGCGAGGCGAGGGCTGCATAAAAAGACAAGCCAGCCAACCAGCCAGTCCGGCGACAGAGCGACAGAGGACTTGTCAGTTGATAGTTGAGAGTTGATCCTTTGATCTGGATACTGGTCTGGTGTGGCGTCAAGGTCGACAGTCGACACGCTAACAGACCAGGACAGGAGGATGTGATGAGTAAGAAGGATAGACAGCTGGATGCCCGGAAAGAAGACAAATAAATCAGTCAGCAATCAATCACCCATCAAATAATATTGATGTGAAGAGGAACTGAACTGGCAGGAAAAGGGAAGCAGCGGAAGCCGGCGGCGGTGGCGGCGGCGGATGATTAGCAATTCCTTACATAATAACACGCCAGAGGCCGCCCCTGCCTTCCAGTCAAGCTCCCAGTCTCCCAGTCACTTGCCGTCAGAGTGATGTGATTGCCCGGCCAGGGCCCACTTGGCGCACTGGAACCAATCATGCCTCGTTCTGTCCCACGCCGCGTCATGTGGTCCCCATATTTATTGCTAGGCAACCATGCCTGATCCGAGCACCGCCAACTTCAAATTCACTTTGCTCCGACGCCGAGGTCCTAGTCCGCTTCAGGCTCCGCAGCCGAGTTGAGTGAAACGGTCCCGGGCGCAGGCAGCCCAGTCACCACACACATCACCGGTGAGATTGATGAATGTACCGACCGATACAGTAGTAGTACAGGCTGCGCAGACTATCATGCATACAGGCCACACCAGGTATCTACGACGTACATGTACCTGCTACCTACCGAGAACTCTCTATCCGTACATTGAGTTGAGATGGTCGACTGGATCTCTTCCTCCAATCGTGCATCGCTTATCACATATTCCTTTCCCAAATTCGCCCTTCAGACCTCCCCTTCCACCCCTCCAAGACCCAGCCAGGCCTGCTGCTGTTTTCTGACTGCTCCGTCTCGACCCGCCTGCGGACGCCTTCATCACTGCATCAGGTACCTGGTACTAGCTACAGCACCTCACCTCTCGTTCGGAATATCGTAATCCAATCTCACAACACGGTCGCCCTCCTTCCCACTGTCATCTTTTCCGTCTCTAAACTCCGCAAGGTCGTCTACTTCTTTCTCGCGCCACCGCCACCCTCACCCGCCCCTTTGACCCTTAGCCTTGATATCGGATGCGGCGGATATAACCCACGCCGTGAAAAGTCCGACAGCCTTATTGCCCCCATAGGCGTTTGCGGCGGATTACATCCAGGTATGGTCACGGGTCACATTGGGCAGGTTTCTTCCGTATAGCGAGTATTGTCTGCTTCGATCAGCTATTTTCTAGCCCCTAAATGACTCACTTGAACAAGGGGTAATGCTGAATTGCTAGGGAGACTGGGGCCGGACGTTTCCCGGCTTACACTTCATCCTTGCGGTTGGAACGCTGTCACGGTACCTACAACTACTGCGATAGTGATAATCTCGTCCATCGTGAAGTACCATGGCAAAGTTCAAAGATGGCGGCCCTCCTTGGTTAGGGCCATTGAAAAAAGACGGACAGTTTCATGGTTGCATTTTTCCACAGCGCGTCGCTGGCATTAGACTCTTGCCAATTATGTTTTGGCTCTCACAAAGACCGGCGAGCATCTTAGACAATATCTGCTGTCCTCCTCGCTGTCTGTCTGTTGGTCTTTTCATGGTCTCGTTACAAGGATCTCTCCAGACCTTGAAAAGTCACGAAACTCCACATTCCCATAATCATATCATTACGCCCACCTCTACCAGTCTCTTTTCGCATCTCATGTGACCGATTGCTCGTTCGTGGATTCCTCCCTCATCGACTCGACACCATCCTGTCTCATCAGCTTGCGAGATTGCCCTAGTCCAAGCCAATGTCCTTTTCATTGGGGTCAGCTACATCAACTGGTGACCCAAAACGCTGACGAAATAGGCATACACAAACACCGCCGTGGCAGTCGAAGGCCGGGTATCTCTAAACATGGGGAAAGAAAAGAAAGCATTGTTGGCTTTTGTGGTCGACGACGCCGCATTACTCGTCTTACCGGAACCTCCACTGCTCGTTGACGTCGGAGGCACACCACTGGCGGTATAGACGCCTGTAGGGAGACCAGACGAGGTAGTTGGTCCTGCTGTTGCGGATGTTTCACTGCTCGCGCTATCAGTCTTGCCGCCCTTGGTGCTATGAGTGCTCAGAGACGATGACGTTCCGGGTATAGTTGTGCTTTCGGGCGCTGGTGCGCTGGTGACCATGCTGGCCGGAGCTGTTCCTGGTAGACCCGCCATGGTCACTACACTCGGGTCAGGCGACTGCCAGTCCGACTGCTCATCGTAGAGGATGCCGTTGATGATGACCCCGGCCTTGTTGGCAAGCATGTTCTTCTGGTCTGTGTTGCATGATGCCTCCACGGCGCGCAAAAAGCACGTGGGTTCAGCGGCCGGAGGTGCCGAGTTTTGATGTGTGGAATTATCATCGCCAAAGGACGTGTACGTCGATAAGTCGACGTGACTGCCCATGCTGATGTCGGTGCCCTGGATGATGCGCGAAAAGACTGTGAAGGCCGTCTCTGGCTGATAGGCAGGAACCAAGTGGCCGGCATCGTAGATCCGGCTGAAGCTGAGGTTCCCATACTGCCGAACAACGCCGCCAACGTATGAGCTGTTGGCCACGATCGGTGCATATCCAGCCGAATACCAAGGTAGATAGGAGGGGCCAGCGAGACCGGCGATTGCGAAAGACACGGCTTCGCCTCCAAGCCAATTGCAGATATAGTCTCTATCCCCATAGATCAAAGCGACTCTAACGCCAGCATTCAGCAGCTCCACTAGATCCGGGATCATGCCATCGCGTGCGTAGTCGCCAGTGGTGTTGAAGGCCTTGAAGACAGCCATTGAATCTTGCGTGTAGTTCACGGGGACGCCAAGGGCCTGTTGGACAGACCGCTGGTTGAGGTAATCTAGGTAAAGCGAGCTGGGGAACGGGTCCAGCAAGTTCTGAGAAATGTCGTAGATTGAACGTCCCGATTGGGTGTATGGTCCGACGACATATGTCTGACAATATAGTTGCGCCTGGGAGCATGCGTCGTTCACCACCTCAACATTTCCGTTCCCCAGAGGATCGAGTGCCGCCTCTTGCGCTCTACAGGCTGCAGTCAGCTGCTGGCAGCCGTCTGCATTGTTGTAAGCGCTCAAAGCGTTTAACTGTTGGAGTTGTGATATTGCCTCAATCCCATATGTGTTTTCGTAGGCAAATTTCGGATGGTACGGAGCCTGGGTCAAAAGGTCGATCCAGCCATTGATGATCCCGAGCGATATGAGATTCACGTCGATCGTACGGTTGGAAAAATCGACATCGGTAGCACGGCGTTCATTTTGAGCTTGAAAGAATGATCCCACCGCAGGCCCATACCTGCCACCAAAGCTTTCGGTAAACAGATGGATCTCTGCAGTGGGTTGAGTATCTTGCGTACGAAGGGCAGTGTTGTATTGAGGAAAAGAGGTCAAGAATGTCTGCAAGAAATGCCATATCGACTGGGCCGCGATTTGTGACGTGTTTGCTGTAAAAGACGGATTTTCCGAAGCGAATGTGCCATTGAGGAAGCTATAGTCCGGTTGTGTGATGGGCACATCTGTTGGGGGCATGATAATTGACTCGTCTAATAGGTTGAGAGATGCGTTCGTGGGAGTGTCGTAGGAGAATCCCACCTGAACAGGCTGATCAATGAAGACAATGTTGCTGCTGCGATCCCACCCCCAGTCCCGTGCTATGGTTCCTAATCGACCTTCGGAGATCTCGATAACTTGACAAGGCCCTAACTCCTGGAATAGGCCAACCATGCTGCTCGAACCTGGACCTCCATTGATGAAGATGGTTAAAGGGGACGACTCTGGAAGTTGTCTCGCCTCGATGAACCAAAAGAAAGCATTGATGGTATAATTCCCCTGACTGGGCTGCAGAACGTTTGGCGGCAACGTAATGTAGCCAGTGAATTGCTTTTGAGTTGCGAAAACTGTTGTACAAGTACCGATGGGAACGCTTTGGTAGCTGATTGTGACATTGGGATCGACGGGAGAGAGGATTGTTATCCGAGTCTCATCGGCAACGGGTGGAGGGAATTGCGCCAGAGTACCTGACACGATGGATAAGAGGCCAACGAGAAGATACTCCCTCCATTTCGTCCATGAGGGCGTACGCTTGTTCAAGATTTAGTTAACGACACACGCTACCGCAGACTGTGTTCGTACCATGTTACATTGATTGACCTTCTCATGAAATGCTGGTATTCACACCTTCGCTCGACGACTTCCGAGCATGTTCAACCGGAGAACTCCTCCAGTGTAATGTGAAGAAAGCCCGGTTTAGACAGTCAGGGTGAGCCTAGGATCAAGCCGATCCTTGGGCGTGGTCGATGGTACAACAGGGAATGCTGGCCTCTAGGCAAGAAGGGAATATGTGTTGTGGTTGCGGTCCTTGTCGCTATTGAGTGAGACCGAAGGATTTCAGGGCGGCTTCGCATAGACTCGCCGGAGCGGAGGAGTGGGTGGACTAGGTAGGAAAGAAACCTTGGGGTTCCCGCACCTAAAATGGTGTAATCGTGCGGAGAATCAAACGAGTGTGTGCGACCCTAGAGACACCTAGAGCGACAGCGAAAGAATGCCAACGAAATACTCCGTACAGGCAACAGAGAATAGGAACCCGATCGAACTCCGGCATGGACTTTTTGGCGGAGGCACGCCAACAGGGATTCCAACTATTACATGTACTCGAGTAAAGCCGGGGTTATCTCCGTTCCTACTAGTATAGCTGTTTTCTGGGGTTGGACCATTGCCCAACCGAGTAGCTCGATCACCATTCAGGTACCGAACCTTATCATCTAGACGGGCTCTACCTCGCAAACGCCGTCTCTTCTTCTTGATGGTTAGGAGATTGGTAACGGTCTGCGATTTCTTTTACGCGTCTATAGAGTGGCTGCAACAAGAAATTGGCACCACAATTAGATTGATCAACGGCCCTTTCGCGCCCTGCTCGTCAGTCAACAGGACCAAGGAGATGCATCCTGAAGAGCCCACATAGATAAGATAAACGGAGTAGGTATTACTCCCAAAGTTATAGAGATTGCATTCACTCAGGCCCAGCCTTACCCTCAAGGCTATAGACAATCACGTGAGGAGAATGCCAAGCCCTAGTTTTTGCGGCAACTCAGGCTTGAGATGGGCCCCAACTCGAAGTCGATGCAAGAACCCTCAGTTCACTCACCTGTATAACAATCCCGGGTCGTATTCTTCCTCTTTACAATTCTGTAACCTTATCAGGCGCCACTCTCACTTGCTTGGTGTCTCCCTGTTGAGCGAGAGGAGAGTGGGCAGTCATGGCTTACAATGGCTACACTGGCTTTGGTGAAGATGTTATGGATGGCGTCGAGACATCGGGACCCAAGGTGACAGTGAGAGATGTGAGCTTCTCTGCTTTCATTCTGTTTGTCAGTACGCCCGCTAATTAGAACAGGTCGAGCAAGACCGCTGTGACTTTGTCTTGCAATCATGCTCCCTTGCTCTCGCGAACTCCCTGCGTCGCGCCATTCTGGCCGAAATCCCTACCGTCGCTGTCGATCTCGTCGACATAATTACAAACTCCTCCGTCCTCCCTGACGAATATCTCGCGCATCGGCTTGCATTAATCCCCCTCGTGAGCAAAGGGGTCGGAGAAAATCTTAATTATACGAGAGATTGCGATCGGTGTGATGATCACTGCGAATACTGCTCGGTTGTGTTGCGCCTCCATGCACGGTGTACAAGACCTGGTACGATGATGGTATATGCTCGCGATATGACCGTTGCCGACCCTCGTCAGGACGGTATTGGCATGCCAGTGATCCGTGATGTCAACGGCACCGGCCCTTTGATTGCAAAGCTGAGACAGGGTCAAGAGATTCATCTGGAATGCATCGCAAAGAAGGGCATTGCGAAAGAACACGCAAAGTGGGCCCCAACGGCAGCAGTCGGCTTCGAATATGACCCAAACAACAAATTGCGACACGTTGATTACTGGTACGAAACCGATGCGAAGGACGAGTGGCCAGTTGACGAGCGCAATGCTACCTGGGAGGGTGACGAGACGGCAGCCGATGCCGCGTTTGATCCTGATGCGGTGCCGAGCGCCTTCTTTTTCGATGTGGAAGGTGTTGGTACGCTCGAACCCGACGATATCGTGCGTGGCGGGATCGAGGTCATTCAAAAGAAGCTGGCCGAGACCATCAAAGTGCTGGGAGGTGCTGAGGCAGCCGGAGTGGACGCAATGAACGGCTTACAAAGCCCCGATGCTTACGAACCTGCTCCTGCAGACGGAGGGTATGGTTCGTATGGTGCACTCAGGGGCGGGACAACTCCCTACGGCACGACTCCTTACGGCGCTGGTGGCTATGGTTCTTACTAGGCGACGTTTTCCTCTCATGAAAATAAAACTCAAATAGCGAGGCGTTGGATGGACAGGACTCGGCACGGAAAGGGTTTGACGGCTCAAAAGCAGCCCAGGGAGGCGACATATTTTTTCATTTGACGATTCAGAATCGCCATATGATCTAAGGCAGATAGACCAATCCCTACAGCGTCGATTCTAGACAGAATCGAGGTTGGCAAAAATTTGCTGCCATTCTCAACCATGGCCGGGGCTGATTTGTTTCGAGAGATGGACTGACGAAGCCTAGTACGATAACAAAATGCTACAAAGGTTTCATCCTTCCACTGCCTACTTGGTATGGATAGTCAGGAAGTACCCAGCGATGGAACCCTTCGTCCGCAGTACAGCCAGAGATTGGACCCCGGCCGTTTAAAGTCCACTTCGCTCGAGCCCCAGCTGGAACGGGTAAATGGGGAGGGCTCTCCGGACTGGACTCTGGATACCGCACCTAGTCAGCAAATGTGTGGGCAGACTGCTTCCGTAATCGATGCACGGGTGCAGGCTTAAGATAATACATAAACAGGGTCGGGACAGGAACTCTGATTGACTGCTCTGCCCGTTCGCATTGCCAGCAAGATTCTGTGTGTGCTCTTTTCCTGGTCAATCTGCAGCGTCTCGAGATTCGCCGCCATATTTCCCTCTTGAAACCATCTCCTGACTTTGTGTCTGAAACGGTAAGCCGAAGGAGGAAGACGGCGCAAGCAGCCGAGCCTACGGGGACACATTCTTCCGCCAGTGAGAGAGCGTCTCGCAGGGTCGGTGACTTCAGAAGCTTGCTCAAGTTGCCCCGCCAAACGTCAGGCTTATTAGCCGCAATTCGAGCTGCCCCCCCAAGGTCGTTCAACAAACAGCCCAGGCTCGGACGGTAAATTTTCTCAACAGCCTGCTTGCCTTCCAGATCTTCTTGTTATCTTCCTCCACCCTCTCTCCATCCACAACTATCGTCGCAACTAGCAAACATGGGCTACACGGATCTCGATTGGAAGGCCATCAACACCGTCCGGCTGCTGGCGGTAAGATTTTTACCCCTCCATCAGGTCATGATGTGTCGACTGACTGCTCCTCGTCTAGGTCGATGCCACTCTCAAGGCGAACAGCGGCCATCCGGGAGCTCCCATGGGTGAGTAACTACTGATTCATCCTCGCGATGCGTCTAACAAGGGTCATATAGGGCTTGCTCCTGTCTCGCATGTCCTGTTCAACAAATTCATGACCTTCAATCCGAAAAACCCCGACTTCATCAACCGCGATCGATTTGTTCTATCGTGAGTAACTCCAATGCTCCCTGCCCGTCACCACACCTTCGGAAGAGATTGGGCCTTCCACAGATATGAAACATCCCATTTGGCGGTAGTCCGTCCTCTCCGCCGGACTAGGATTGCGTGCCGGGAGAGGGGTCTTCACATACCACTTCTTCTACATCGAGGCTGCGATTGTTTCGGACATCCCTTCCTAACTTGATCCAGGAACGGACATGGTTGCATGCTTCAATATGCCCTCCTCCACCTGTTCGGCTATGGCGTCTCGCTGGACGATCTCAAAAACTTCCGAGTAAGTCCTAGACCGATCCAGCCATGATCGTCTTAGTCTAACTCCTCGTAGCAACTCGACAGCATTACTCCGGGCCATCCTGAGGCTCACGACACACCCGGAATCGAGGTGACTACCGGACCTTTGGGCCAAGGTTTTTCCAATGCAGTTGGTTTGGCCATTGCCCAAGCCCACACCGGAGCCGTCTTCAACAAGCCAGGGTATGAGCTTATTAATAACTACACCTACACAATCTTCGGCGATGGCTGCGCCATGGAGGGTATTGCGAGCGAAGCTGCTTCCACTGCTGGACATTTGCAGCTGGGAAATTTGATTGCCATCTACGATGACAATCACATTTCCATCGGTAAGTAGTCGAGTCCAAGTATCGCAGCCTAGAAAGACTAACAAGTCTAGATGGCGACACCAAATGCGCCTTCACCGAGGATGTCTCAAAGAGATTTGAGGCCTATGGCTGGCATGTGCAGCACGTTGCAGATGGTGACCACGACCTCGAGGGCATTGAAGCTGCCATCGCCAAGGCCAAAGAAGTCAAGGACAAGCCATCCATGATCAAGGTGACAACCACCATTGGCTTTGGTTCCAAGCTTCAAGGCACTGGCGGTGTGCACGGCAACCCTCTCAAGGCCGACGATGCCAAGCAAGTCAAGGCCAAGTTTGGTTTCAACCCTGAAGAGTCGTTCGTTGTGCCACAGGAAGTCTACGATCTTTATAACAAGCATGCTGCCGAGGGTGCCGCTGCCGAGCAAGCCTGGAACGACCTTTTCAAGAAGTACAGCAGCGAGTACAAGGATTTGGCTGCTGACTTGACCCGTCGTATCTCCAAGAAACTTCCCGAAGGCTGGGAGAAGAAGTTGCCCGTGTACAAGCCATCCGATCCCGCGGTTGCTTCACGAAAGCTTTCTGAGAAGGTGCTGGAGGATATCCACGAGGCCATTCCTGAGCTCTTGTCCGGCTCTGCCGATTTGACCGGGAGCAACAATACTCGATGGAAGAACGCCGTTGATTTCCAGCCCCCGTCCCTCGGCATTGGCGACTGGTCTGGACGCTACCTCCGATACGGTGTTCGAGAACACGCGATGGCGGCTATCATGAACGGCATCTCCGCCTATGGCACTCTGATCCCGGCTGGAGGCACTTTCTTGAACTTTGTGTCATACGCCGCGGGTGCCGTCCGTCTCTCATCCCTTTCGCACCAGCGAGTTATCTACGTCGCCACCCACGACTCGATTGGTCTTGGTGAGGACGGTCCCACCCATCAACCGATTGAGACTTTGGTTCATTTCCGAGCCCTTCCCAATATGATGGTCTGGCGACCTGCCGATGGCAACGAGACCTCTGCGGCGTATTACATGGCACTCACATCCACCGGCACGCCCTCCATCCTGGCCTTGACCCGACAAAACTTGCCTCAACTCGAGAACTCGACGATAGAGAAGGCAATCAAGGGTGGTTATGTTGCGTACGAGGTGGACAATGCTGATATCACCTTGGTGTCTACGGGATCAGAAGTTTCGCTTTGCATCGAGACTGTCAAGGTGCTGAAGGATCAACATGGCATCACTGCACGAGTTGTCTCAATGCCGTGCACGGAGGTCTTTGATGCTCAGCCCAAGGAATATCAGCTCCAAGTCCTCCCCGATGGCATTCCAGCCTTGTCTGTCGAGGTCATGTCTACACTCGGTTGGGAGAAGTACTCTCACGAGCAATTCGGCCTCAACCGCTTTGGTGCTTCCGGCCCGTACAAGGAGGTGTACAAGGCAAGTTTTCCCCGCTCCTCGAAGACTCGTGCTCACTAACACTTGGCAGAAATTCGAGTTCACTACTGAGGGCATTGCCAAGCGTGCGATCGCCACAGTCGACTTCTACAAGGGCCTCAAGCCTCGCTCACCGGTTAATCGTGCCTTCCAACAACTCATCTAAGTCTTCAGGCACTTACGGAGAGCTGCACATTGTGGGCCAATGACGAACGAAACACAGACCGCTACCCGGGAATTGGGCATGACTGATGGGGCGATGGCCAATGCTAAAGGGCAGGACCCCGGATTTAAGCTAGTTTTCACCAAATAGACGAATGCAAGGGACATACACATCACTGAGCACTAGACATGGGGACAGTAGTCGTGACATTGACTCGAATATCATACAGCTTCGGCCCTGGAGGGGTTTCTCATTCGCGAATGGAAACCAGATCGGTCTTCTCCATGAACAACTAAAAAGTGAAGGTCTTCGCGAGCCAGCACAGGGCTAAGGGGCCTCTAAGCCCTGCCTACGAAAAGGAGCCCCTAGCCCCTCTAGCCGAAGCGTTGACCGGGCCCCATGCCTAGTTTCCACAGTTTTCGGCATTCTGCAGCCGCTGGCGATAGCATGCAGGAACAGGTCCTCGAAAGTCTCATAGAGTTAGTTAGTTGATCCTATGTTGTTGATTGAATTGATGCGTTTGTCGCTTGTTGTGCGCCAGTTGCAGTTCCACGAGCGCCCCGCAGTCTTTATCTAGTACTCCGTAGCCACATCACAATTGACTTTTCACTCTCTCTTCTGCGGACGCAGCGGCTTCGCTATTTCAAGATCAAAGGAGAGAATCGGCGGACGATTGGTGACAATGGCACCATCCACATGGCTCGTCGTCGGAGCTTCTCGAGGTATCGGACTCGAGTTCGTTCGTCAATTGCTGGAGCAGGGCAACCAGGTCATTGCAGCAGTGCGCAGCCCAGAGGCGGCCAACCAGGTTTGGCAATTGTCTGCGCAGCAGACGAGACCAGCCGCTTGTTTGATAGAACAGTGCGACGTCACTGACGAAGCAAGCATTGATGTGAGTGGATCGGCCACCTGAAGCTACGAGACCATTAAGGACACCGATCCAAGCATTTGATTCATCGGGATTTCTGATTCGTGGGCAGGCATTTGTGGACCGAATGAGAGCTGTTGTCGGCAAAGGGATGAAAATTGATAACATCGTATTGAACGCTGGTGTCCTGAAATACCCCAATGTACGAGAATCTCCTCTTCCATGAGACTTGAAGGCTAATGGAGACCTAGCGAGCGACCGAGATGTACGGGAGAGGAACCCCGACCTGAGACGGCCCAGCGATGAGTGCTGATGTTCGACGTGCCACAGATCATTCAGCGATTTTGCCCTGCATTTGCACACCAACACGATCGGGCCCATCATCGTAGCACAGAAACTGCTCAATATCAGCACGGCCGATCCGCCCTCGAAAATCATCTTCATTTCCTCCGACTCGGGATCAACGGCGGATTTCCGTGACCACGAGGATGGATTTGGCGCATACGGTGCGAGCAAAGCTGCCCTGAATCAAATGCTCAGACACATGGCTGCCGAATTGAAAAGGAAAGGGGGAAAGTGGCAAGATGTATGCATCTTAGCCATGCATCCCGGAGAAGTGCAGACGTGAGTGACTCCTGCCAAAAATGAAGAACCTGTTTGCTGACCTCGCTCTCCTCTTCTCAGGGATATGGCCAATATCAATGTGGACTGGGAGGTTGAAGGCGTCATCAAGCCCGAGGAGAGCGTCAAGAAGATGTTGAAGGTGATTGCCGAGAAAGACAAGACTCACAGCGGCACTTTCTGGCGTTGGGATGGTCGAGTAAGTGCTATTGTGCGTTTACCGTTCGCGACTCGCATCCTGACCCTTCGCTACTTAGGAACATCCCTGGTGAGCGTTCATACATGATGGCGGAGTGGCTGCAAGCCGAAGATATACCCGTCTCTCTTCCTCGGTCAGGCCCAGGAGGCACGAAGGTGTAGATTTACCTCTGATCAGTTCAGGTAGAAGAAAAGGTGACTAATGCGCAGGCACGGGAACCGCATGTCGATAGGGGCCGGGGCTGGGGTGGTGACGGAGGGCCTAAGATCGACGACCACAGCGATATTGAGGCGGTCAGTTGATGCCACAGCGACAGCGACAGCGACATAGACATTCCAAGCCTGCCACTAACTAGCAGGCTCACCAGCTGCCGTGGGATATGGAGTCAAGAATATAGACGGGGCATGACTCGAGGGTGAAAGTGCAGGCGGAAGTCTTTGTAGGCCGCCCCCTCGCTGTTTTCGCCGGTCGGTCGCGCTTACTCGGACCGGCATAGCGCGTCCAATCCAAATTCTTTGATTGCCTGACTTTTTTGGTCTTCGAAATCACCGCCTCCCTCTTGCTACCACCACCGCATCGACACACCTCAGCTTCAATCTTCTCTTTTGCATCTTCTGCCAGTTTGTCCTGCAGTCGATTGCTATCCTGCCCCGCCCCTGCCGAAAACACTCGTGCCCTGAAAAAAACGTGAAAAAACCAATCTCAAACCCTTGGGTCGTGCCGTAAGTCGTCCGTCCCACGCCTGCGCATCCTTTTTCACGAAAACCCCGTGCTGTTGGAATCGCCGACTGACTGGACCCTAGTGTTCTCGACTTCTATTCACCTATCTTTTACCCAGTACCTTGTCCTCATCGCGCACCATTCCTGTCAGTACCTACCTCTTTTTGGTCGATCCTGAAAGAAAACCATCACACACAAAGGTGAGTCTGGCTCCTTGTTAGGCTTCAGAAGGCGAACAAAGGATTCCGCACGCGGCTGCCTAGGCAGATTTCCATCTTCATTCCATCCTCGATCTCGACGGTGACTGACATATCCGCAGCAAACATGTCTGCAGCCGACGTGTCTACTACTCCTTCGGCCACTGGCCAAAACGGTGCCTCGGAGGCACCCAGCCAGAACGGCACCACTGCGATCAACACCAACGTTGCGCAGTCTGAAGGCCCCAACGACAATGATGCTGCAACTCCTTACTCTGCCACTACGAACAATGCAGCGCACTCTGCCTCCCTCTATGTCGGGGAGCTGGACCCCTCCGTCACCGAGGCAATGCTCTTCGAGTTGTTCTCGTCCATCGGTCAAGTCGCTTCCATCCGCGTTTGTCGCGATGCCGTCACTCGTCGCTCCCTCGGTTACGCCTATGTCAACTACAACAACACCGCCGATGGAGAGAGAGCCTTGGAAGATTTGAACTATACCAGTATCAAGGGCCGTCCATGCCGTATCATGTGGTCTCAGCGTGATCCCGCGCTCCGCAAGACTGGACAAGGTAATGTCTTCATCAAGAATTTGGATGCGGCCATCGACAACAAAGCGCTCCACGACACTTTCACCCAGTTCGGCAACATCCTCAGCTGCAAGGTCGCCCAGGATGAGCTTGGAAACTCCAAAGGTTATGGCTTCGTCCATTACGAAACTGCTGAGGCGGCCAACTCAGCCATTAAGTCTGTCAACGGCATGTTGTTGAACGACAAAAAGGTCTTTGTCGGTCACCACATTGCCAAGCGAGATCGTCAGAGTAAGCTTGAAGAGATAAAGGCCAATTTCACCAACGTCTACATCAAGAACATCGACGAGTCAGTAACTGACGATGAATTCACCAAGCTTTTTGAGCCATATGGCGACGTTGTGTCTGCCACGATTACTCGCGACGAGAATGGCAAGAGCCGTGGCTTTGGTTTCGTCAACTATGCTAGTCACGAGTCGGCATCCCGGGCTGTTGATGAGCTCAACGATAAGGACTTCCACGGCAAGAACCTGTACGTCGGACGTGCCCAGAAGAAGCACGAGCGTGAAGAAGAGCTCCGCAAGCAGTATGAGGCTGCCCGCATGGAGAAAGCTTCCAAATACCAGGGTGTCAATCTCTACATCAAGAACTTGACCGATGATGTCGACGACGACAAGCTTCGTGATCTCTTCAGTGGTTATGGTACCATCACCTCGGCCAAGGTCATGCGTGACGCAGTTGAGCGCACCGCCTCTCCTGCGGATGACAAAGACAAGGAGAACAAGAAGGAAGAGCAAGCCGAGGGTGGTGCAGAGGAACCGACCGAATCAGAAGAGAAGGAAGACGCGAAAGACGACTCGAAGGAAGCAAAGAAAGAAAACACCAAGAGGCTCTTGGGCAAGAGCAAGGGTTTCGGTTTCGTCTGCTTTAGCAACCCCGACGAAGCTTCCAAGGCTGTCTCGGAAATGAATCAGAAAATGATCAACGGCAAGCCTCTCTATGTTGCCCTCGCCCAGCGCAAGGATGTTCGCAGAAACCAACTTGAGGCTAGTATCCAAGCACGGAACACCCTTCGCCAGCAGCAACAAGCGGCTGCCGCCGGTCTGCCTCAAGGTTACCTCCAGCCGGCTGTCTTCTACGGTCCAGGGCAACAATTCCTCCCCCCTGGCGCTCAGCGTGGTATCCCGTTTGCCGGTCAACCTGGCATGGTTATTCCAGGTATGCAAGGCGGTCGCGGACAATTCCCAGGAGGATTCCCACAACAAGGACGTGGCATCCCTCAAGGTCAACAGCTTCCTCCCAACTTTGGCCTGCCCGGACAGATGCCGTTCATGCAGAACCCTGCTCTTGTCAATGGCATGTACAATAACCCTCAAGCGTTGGCTCAGATGCAAGGTCAGATGGGCCGTGGCGCAGGCGGACGTGGCCAGATGCAAGGCATGCAGGGTATACCTCCCAACCTGCAGGGCATGGGTGGAATGCGTGGTGGACCAAACTTCCCACAAGGTGGACGAGGTGGCATTCAGAACCTGCCAGGTGGGCAAGGTGTTGGACGTCTACCCCCACAAGGACGCGGACAGCCCCTTCCTAGCCGAGAGGAAGTCAACCCACCAAGCGGCCTCAACAATCTGGCATCGCTGTCTCCGAGCCAACAGAAACAGGTGCTCGGCGAAGCCATCTACCCCAAGATCCAACAGATCCAACCAGAACTTGCAGGCAAGATCACTGGTATGCTTTTGGAAATGGACAACTCTGAACTTGTCACATTGTGAGTTTTGCCCTGTTCCCATGATTTGCACCTTCGCTAACATCTTCACAGGGTCGACGATGACGCTGCTCTCCGGTCCAAGGTCGATGAGGCTCTCCGGGTCTACGATGACTACATGAAGAGTCGAAGTGGTGAAAGCGGCCCCAACGGTACGAAAGAGGAGGAAGCGTCCAAGGCTGAGGGCGCCGAAGCCACCGCCGCCTAAGATGTTGATCTCTGGTTCACTCGTTCAACTCTTTCACCAGAACATTTCTCCCAAATTGCATGATCATTGTATTCAACTTGGGCGCCATGCCTTTTACTCAAAAGTTTTGATATGCAACATGAACCGAGTCCACCACCAATTGGACTCGGGCCATGGGGCTGGGGCTCGATGGGACTGGAGTGGCTGGCGAACGGCGTCTTTCCTTGAGCTGTAACTCGATTGCCTTTTGTGGCTGGCTGGTGGCTCGGTGATTATGGAGCTGGGTTTTTCGTGTATCATAGACTGGAGATATGCTTTTCTCAGCCGGGCCTTCTATGCAGTTAGGCGGGTATGGTAGCTGCGGTATTGTCCCGAGATTCGGATTCTACATTAGGTATCAACCAACCCTCGAGATACTGCCAGTAGGTCGCCGTCTGCGTGTCCGCCAACCTGCATTAGATAGAGTCCTCTAATACAACCAAGTACTCTACGAATATTTAGCTGTGCTGTGCCTTGTTTTGGATCTCTTTTGGATTTCTTTTTCCCCGGCCTTACTATTATTGTGTTGGTGCAACTCGTCGGAGCACGAGCCGCTGCGTAAACTGGCAAGAGGGTAGGTAGGTAGAGACATTGAAGAACCAGCGTTTGTCTGTATCTGTGTGTGTATCTGTGTGTGTATCTGTGTGTGTATCTGTGTGTGTATCTGTGTGTGTA